AGCAATCCCAAGCTAATCTTGTGCAGAATAAAACGGACACGTCTAACAAGCGGATCAGCACAACGAAGTGCTCTAAAATGCCCAGCTCGCCTTGTGTTTCACCACAGTCAGTGAAGCAGCCAACGCCTAGTACCTCATCGCATCCATCGCGGAAACAAGGTACTAAAGTTCCATCAGACTCTCCCACAAGACCTACTATATGTTCAGCGGACAGTAAAGTTCCAATGTGCAATAAACAAATTGAGGATAACGATTGGAGAGTACAAACATCGAAGAAACCAAGACCAATATCTAATGACCTGAGGCCCCGTAGCCTCATGGTCTTTTACGAACCTGAGTCAGGTGATTCTAATCCTCAGGTGCGTTATGCCCATGACGTCGAATATTTGCAATCATTGATTGACAAACTACTCGATGTAAATGAGGACGGGCTAAAAGTGCAGCAGATCGCCCGCCTAGGAAAGAGAATGGAGGGCAAAAGTCGGCACATGAGGGTAACATTTGTCGAAGAAGCAAGTACCAAATTACTATTGTCTCGCCTTAATAGGCTGAAGGGTATAAAGATCCACTTGCGCGCTGACTTAGAACCAGCAGACAGAGAAAAACTCAAGTCTGCCATGATTGAACTAAAGCGCCGCACGGAGGATGGAGAAACAAACCTCCGTATTGTAAATTTTCGAGTAATTGCCCGGGTTCCTCCACGAATCCGGATCAACAGGTTGCTAATACTTCAGGCGCGCCCAGCGGGTCCTACCGCGGTCTGCGCGTAGCCTTTACTTATGTATGCAGTTTGATGAACAAGCGCGATTTGCTGTACGACTTCGTAAGCTCTCAGCGACCAGATGTATTAGGTCTTGCTGAGACATGGTTAAACTCCGAGGTAAACGCCCAAGAAGTGGAAATCCCCGGCTACTCATGCTTCCGCTGTGATAGACCATCAAATGATCGCGTTGGCGTTCTACTTTACATAAAGTCTTCCTTGTGTGGGAGACTAGTGAGCGCCTATCAAAGCGCTGATGGTCTATGTGAGCAGTTATGGTGTTCGATACACCTCAGACGCTGCGAGTTGCTCGTAGGCGTGGTATATCGCAGCCCACTGAGCCGCAGTTTGGACTGGTTGCCGCATGTCCGCAACCACATGAGTCGTCCGATGTTCCTACTCATGGGCGATTTCAACTTGCCCCGAATACAGTGGCCTGAAGCTGAACTTCTCCCCGGCTACTGTGAAGTCGAGAGGAAGTTCACGGAGTTGCTATTTGAAACGGCGGCCACACAGCACATCAATCAACCGACACGCATTACAGCGCGCGCAACTCCATCATGCTTAGACCTGCTGTTGACTAGCTGTGAGCAGCGTGTACATAACATTCAAGTTTTAGAGCCTCTGGGAGCGAGTGACCACTCAGTGATCATAGGCAGTTTAGAACTACCGCTACCAAATCCTCTCCCACTAGAGTCAACCTTCAACTATTGGAAGGCGGACTTTAATGGCCTCATTCGAGCAGCGAGCCAGATAGACTGGTCTTTACCACAGGATTCATCTATTGAAACCTGTTGGGCTATCATTAAAGAGGGAGTGAAATCGTTGTGCGCCAGATTTGTGCCCCTCAAATTTCGGAAAGTTGGGCCAGTCAAACCACACTGGTTTGACAAAGAGTACAACAAAATGGTCCGACGGCGACGTAGACTATGGAACAAATTCGTGTTATCTGGCTCTGATGAGGACTACAATGCCTACAAGGTCCAGCGAAATCGCTGCAACAACGCGAAAACAAGCAAACGCAGAAGCTTCGAAGAGGAGCTTGCGACTGCCTCAAAAACTGCTCCCAAGAGGATCTTCGCATATGTGAAGCGGCGCCTAAAACCTATAGCTAATATTCCAGTGTTGGAAGGCTCAGAAGGACAGCCCCTAACCTCAAGTACTGATCTTGCGTCAGCATTGGCAACGCACTTCGCCTCCGTATTCGCAAGTGACCAGGTGTCTGTAATGAGTTCGACGAGCACCGCTCCAACCGAACTTAACAGCCTGGACTGCAATATTGAGGATGTACGCAAGATTCTAGCAAATCTTGACGGGACGAAACCTGCTGGGCCAGATGGTATACACCCACTAATCCTCAAGTCATTATCGACCATAATTGCACCTTCTGTAACTGAACTGTTTAACAGGTCACTATCCACTGGTCTACTACCGGACGACTGGAAATGCTCAGTCGTAAAGCCTATCCCGAAAGGTGGTAACCCAAGCGAAGTGGATAACTACCGGCCGATCTGCCTGACGGCAGTTTTGGCAAAGACGCTCGAGAAGATCGTGAAGAAGAGCCTTCTGCAACTTCTCGAGTCGAAAAACCTGTTAACCTCAGCACAGCATGGTTTCCTGAAAGGTCGTTCGTGCATCACCAACCTACTGTTGACGAGGCACGAATGGTTACAAGCGCTGAACAAAGGCCAATCGGTTGACGTCATTTACATTGACTTCAGTAAGGCTTTTGACAAGGTTAACCATGCAGTGCTCCTTGACAGACTGAGGATGTGCGGTGTTGGTGGTTCGCTGCACAAATGGATCAGCAATTTCCTTGTGGATCGAAAGTGGAGAGTCCAGGTGGACAACCATCTAACTGAGTGGTATCCATCGAGCAGCGGCGTGCCCCAAGGCACTGTACTGGGACCGATATTGTTTCTAATCCATATAAACGATGTGCCTCAGCTACTACAATCACATTGTGCTTTGTTCGCAGATGACTTGAAAGTGTGGAGAGTAATCCGCACACTCAATGATTGCGATTTACTTCAGCAGGATCTCGACCGCTTCTCAACATGGTCCGCATAGGTTAGACTTCCGATCAACCCTGCCAAGTCGCAATTCATGAGGTTGGGTAAGTGTGAGCACAGCCAAACGTACACAGTGGCTGGTCAACCGTTGCATCCCGCTCCTTTCGTGCGCGACCTCGGTGTACTCTCACGCGGCGACCTAAAGTCCATTGACAACACGAATAGGCTGTACCAAAACAGCCTTCGTATGCTTTGGGCTCTCAGGCGCAGCTTTAGCACTTGGTCCGAAGAGATTGCCACTCGCCTCTTCGTCTCGATAATACGACCAATGCTGGAGTACGGCACTCCCGCATACTGTCCCATCACCCGGGGCGAAGTAGAAAAGCTAGAGCGGGTGCAGCATGTAGCCACCAGGCTGATTCCCAACTTACGAGGTATGTCATACGAAGACCAATGTAAGAAACTAGGGTTATACACCCTATCTTATCGTCGGCTGAGGGTTGACCTCATCATGACGCACCGAATATTACATCTGGGTGATTACCCCATGTTGAGACAACTACTTCATCTGCGCACACCAAGCTGCACGCGAGGACACCGGTATAAACTTATCGTCCCGGATTTGAAGCGGGTCGCCCATCAACTCTGTTTCGAACGCAGAGTGGTGAATGTCTGGAACGACCTGCCTCAGCATATAGTAGAAGCCAACACAGTGTCTAAATTCAAGATGCCACTAGACCGACAATTGGCAGAGGCAAAGTACAGAGAGTGAAACGATAAATAAAAGTTCATGTCCGAAAACGACGACTGATGCAGCTACACAGAGAAACCTCTACTCGCTACTTCCCACCAGTTCTCAGTTCTCAGTGAGGCCGAACCACCACTTTGTAGAATGGGAGAAAAACCTTAGGTTTAGTATTATACAATGCTCCCCCGAAGCGAAAAAGTCCCAGCAGCGCTTTGTTAGCAGCATATTGGCGCTGCTCCGAAGGCTTGAAATTATCTACCCTAACGCTGCCGAAGTCCCTCGCCTTATTTCCACACTGCAATGTCAGACCCTGTGGATGTCTGCACCGTAACGCAACGTTACTGGATGATAACAGCTGACCTTCGTTCGCGTTTAGTGACAAGTCCCATGATTCAGACCACTTTGCCACAGTGCCCAGATCTTTAGACAACGTATCTCTATCTCCCCTACTGACAAGCTTTACGTCATCTACAGTTGCGAAGCTGGTCATCACAAAATCCCACACATTGGTAGCGTCCGATCCGTAGAGTGCGATCAGTTGGACTGGAGCGTTATACGATTTTTGTTTGACAATAAAGCAGATAATCTGCTGTTTGCGCAATTTAACTACCAAAGAAGATGCACATGGGTAGAACGACTAATGTGGGTAGGGGGCTTCACAGATTATGAGAGATGACAATGGGGCAAATAATATAGTTTTGCAATATGTTATGCGCAACGATCGTGAGAAGAGCGCGTTGATATGTGGAGCGCTTTGCCAAAGGTAATTCAACAAACTGTTCATACGAACACGGCACGACGATAAGAAAAGTATACGGCTGGAACAGGTCAGAGTGACAGAGAGACAAAAAGCGAAGGAGAGCCAACACTGAATTCGGCGCAACAAATCGTGTGTCAAAAATCCAGTAAAGAATACTGAGAGTAAAAGTGCGCCAAAGGGACATTAGTCGACAAGATGGTGGCAGAGACAATAATTCGGGTAGTCGGATTTAGTTCAAAAGAAATCACATGGGTGGACCGTGCTACATCGGTGGTCAGAACAAGTGGTGCGGTAAGTGGCGTGGTATCGCTGAGACGTTGTAAGCCAATGCGTATCGCGCAAACATGGTGTGAGGATGGTCCGATACGAAAATTAACAAAACAATGCTAGCAATCAAGTATTAATGGCGACGTTGATTGACGACCAGAGCGCTACACAAATGACGTTGGTTTCTCTTCTCAAAAAGTAGTTAAGGGAGTAAGGTTAATTGCAACTTGTCAATAGGGAATCCGATACTCAAGGGAAGTCGCAGTTGCGCCAGTTTGGCCTATCAATAGCACATCGGATAGCTGGGTGGGCAGGATGGTGTTCTGTTCAAGCAAATCAGTCTGATGGCGAGTGCAGAAAATATTTTCCAAAACAATCATGATGCGGTTAATCAGACACGCAAACAACAAACGCAAATGAACGCCAACAGAAGGATGGAAGAGGACAAATTACCTTTAGAAATCGAACCATCAAAATATTTGTTGATTTCAGTGGACAAGAATCCCAAATGAAGATGCACCTGCAAGGTCAGATAAGAGGATATTGTTACCACTCATCAGACAGATGTGAGAAATAAAGACAGTGCGGGATAGCCACATCGGTGGCATGATACGCAATGCGCGAGATCTGTTCATCAGATGACCACTGCATGTGAAAAGGAGCAAAGCGTAGGCAGTGAAACTGTCAAACGCTCAATGGGTTAGATCTCATCAAGGCTGTGTTGCTTACTATCAGTTTCCTCGGTTCTAGTCAACGGTATTTGGTGTACTACAGTACCTAATTTTTGCTATTATTAGCCGACATCAGGAATATTCGATTAGGGATCTGTTTAGCTGGAATGCATGGACGATATAATGAGTTTCGACAACAAGAGAAACCGACGCGATTGAATACCGCAATGCTTCTAGTACAGAATTCGTTCCAGAAAGCCCAGAATAAACTGACAATTTAATGTTCTGCTACTGAAAGACGCGGGGCTAACACCACGAATGTGGGAACGTTCGTCTACTGCCTGACACAACATTGTCAGAGTTGAATAAGTTGTAACATAAGTTACGATGCTCCATCGGTATCAATAAGTGTGACGCAGTTTTCATCAACACACTAAGCTTAACCAATCTGGTGGAATTCCCCATTAGACTCAGCGCACATTTGGATGTCGTTTTCACTAAAAAGCACTTTTTTACTACACGAAGATGTGGTCAGTTACTTATTCGGATCGCTGATTGTGAAAGCAGATGACAAGACCAACTATGTTGTGTTGACAAAAAGACGATTCGGAACGGTTAAACGATAGGATTGTTAATCAGAAAAGATCACAATGATCAAATCGAAGCCCATTCAACAGATTTTTCGACTTTCACGAAAGAAGCCTTGTGAACGCAATGCGAGTACCTCAGAGGCCACATATGTTGTGTCACTGAGACCAACTATGTGCGGAATGATAGATGTTCATTCCCAATGTCCAAGTAAGTGCGATGAAAAAATAAGAGGCTTATCAATATAAACAAAATACCCTTGTCAAACGTCTGTCTATAGCTATAAAGGCTGATGTAAGAAGGTTAAACAGTCTGTAGAGTGAAGCGGTTTCAAGCAGAGATGAGATAGTCTGTGGACTTTTGAAGCAACCCCCCTGGCAGATACTCTTGATGCTCATTCGGTGCTGTAGACGTGGACAAATTCAACGCAGAACTCAAGCCCGAATCATCTGACACATTCAATCTACCATCATACACCACCAAAGGTTCGCTCACTTTCTTTGACCATACTAGTGTGTATTTGGAGATTATACGACTGAAGCTAAACAACGGTAGTAACCGGGATGCCCCAGTAGAAATCGTTTTGGAAATGTGAGTGGATGCCTTGCAGTTACCTCTGAGAAAGACTTTCAATTGATGCTTTACAACTGGTACCATCTAACATCTAGAATGCAGCCAGAATGGCATAAATATCGGCTAACTGAGTGCACGCCTGCTGGTTGTACACAAAGCACTAGCTTAATCCGATTAATGACAATATCCTCGGCAAACTGGAGGAGCCGGAAATTAGTATGGCGAAGCAGGATTCGAAACGCCTTGTTGACCTCAATTTGGTGACCCGATGTCAATAAGTGCCTGCCGATCGAAGATGCTGGCGGTCGGCGTACATATGTAGTCTGAGTTGGGCTTGCTTGCTGAATAAGTCCGGAATGAACCCATTTTAGTATATGCTCCTTAATTCGGGAACTCAGTGTTCTATTGGTTCTGCCTATGTAACTATCCCCGCAGTTACATACGAATTGATATACGCAGTGGAAGTCGGCGCCAATAGGCTGAGTTTCCTTTAGTGGAGGCAACGGTAGGTTATGAGTTCGGTCGATGATTACAACTTCGGCAGCACAAAAAGTGCTCTTTGTGGCGGAAATCAGACGCCTTCTGGTCGTTAAAGAAGCAACGTCACCATTAAAAGGCAGCTCCAAGAATACCTTTTTCTTAGGCACAGTAGGTACAGCAACTTTCATTTCACGAATTTCACTGTGCTTCCGAATAAACTTTCGGGGGTAGCCATTAGCAGTTAAAGTGTTGGTAATTAATTCCAGTTCATCAGCTAGATAATCGCTCGAACATATTCGTCTGGCGCGACTAAACAGGGTCCTCACAAGCGTTCGCTTGCGCCGCATTTGCGTCAAGCTGCTAAAATGCAGATACTGTACCGATCACGTGGTTTTTCGATAGACAGACCCTTTTACCAGTCCGTCCTTCCTACGGCTGATAAGAACGTCCAAATGTGGAAGACAGTTCTGTTGTTCGACTTCACAGGAAACCCTCAACTTGGCATGCGTAGAGTTAAAACGCGCCACTAGCTGTGCGATTTGCGTTTCTGTCGAGCACCAAGATTTCGTCCACGTAACGTTTGCAATAGGGTAACTGCGCCATTTCTTCGGATAGGCTTCGTTCTATCATTAGCATAGAGAAATCCGCTAGTATGGGGCCCAGTGGGCTGCCCATGGCCACCCCGTCAATTTGGCGATACGGCATATTTGGAAGTGGAAATCGACATTCTCTGTCAGCAGCACAGATCTGTGGCGGTCGACCTCCTCAATCCAGTAGCCTACTGGTAACGAACGTGTCTAGTAATCTGACGATGCAGATCCGAGCTTGCGTAAAGACCGGGCGACCCTCGCTGCATTCTTAGCTCAAGTGCGACCGGTGGTAGTTGCATGGCAGCATGGTGTCGGTACGCAGTACCGACGTACTGCTGATGTCTTTCTTTTCTTTCTTAATCCGTCATGCGAATACCATAGCAATCCAGACTACCGGCATCTTGTTCCGAAGCTTCGAGCTTACCAACAGGTGCGCTCAGGTCCCTGATGAGAACCACAATATACTTGCAATGATTCTTATGGAGTAGGTCGGAGAGTTGACGGTAGAACCCATTTTTGCCTGAGTCCGGGCTGCAACCCATGCGAACATGCACTGTTACGCCAAACAAACAGTGTTTGGTTGCCTCGCGGAGACTTGTACTTGAATTGCACAGGATTAGTTGTTAATTAGAATCCAAACAAGTAGGGCTGTTTGTGCGCGCGCAGTAGACACAATTCGTACACCAACCAGGTCCGCGACTTCTTCAATTTTGTCTCCCGATAAGTTTGGCGTGCATGTGTTCTGCAAACGATGCGAGGATTACGTAAATTCATATCCAACTGTGTTGTGCGCACATAGCGCTTTTCAGTTACCCAGGTAGGGGAAGGGGGTTAATTTATGTAACCCGAGCCAACGCCTTAGTTCTTAAAGCCCTTACCCGCAAAGCAGTGAGGCGATTAACGTATATCGCGAACCGTCTAGAGCCGATAACACGACATTCAAGTGACAACAAACTACCTATGGCGCCGGAACAGTACAAGTATAGCAGTAAAGGGACTATGAGACGTTTCTTGAAGCAGCCGACTGGTAACAGATTACGAACACAGTCGACAGCCGAGGGGCTCAAACGCCTTCTTAGTGGTCGATGATAGTCCACACAGAAGCGAGTAGTAATCGAGGTTGTTCATCCACCCTCCGTTAGGTACTTCATTCCGGTTAAAAAGTGGGTGGTCACTGACCCTATATCCGGAAACATTGGCTTTGTGGTATTTAATACATAATCAGATAGCCAGCCTGGAACTTTGCACACTCTGAGATGATGCGCTGAATGCCCACGGATGCCTATTAAGCACACATGCGGAACAGGCAAGACTCATTCACACATGCCCTCAGTAGGAAGGCATTCCTCGAATCGCAATCTGCGGAAGTACGCGACGGCGTACAACGAGCCCGTAAGCCGCTCCTTGTGTAGACATCTCATTCTCAGCCTTGTCTTGCATCACTGCTTCTCTACCCATAGCACATCATGGTATCACCGCAGCATAGTATACGCCTCACTGTGGTTTCACTATAATCTTGGGAATTTGTGGTCTACATCCTACCAACCTACGGGACTCGTTGAACACTCACTGCATTACCCCTACTAAACAATACTCAATGTAAGTTTTACACGTTGCTTTGAGGCGCATTGCGGGCTAGCCGTGGAACAAGCACTAAGACAACTCATATATCAGTTGCATTACAATCTTATTGTCCAAGTTGATACGTCGCCCATCGCCATCGCAGGACGCCAGGAAGATTTCTGCGCTGCTATCATCGCACCAGTGAAAGTGTCTATGTCCACCGGTGCACATGCGATTTAGCGGTGACCCAAGTAACCTGTGGCCTCCGCGCTTCAATGCGCCACTCGTATTGTGCCTATTTCCTCGTGCACTCCATGTGTCCACAGTACGCGATAGATCGTACGGACAAGCGCCTGGGGTTTAGCTTAGTAACACGGATTGTCGGCCGTGTCCGAATGCGAGTAGCCAGTGACCCTATTCGATAACAGGCTCTGTTATAATGGTGCTGTGAACCGCACTCGAATTCCTTATTATACACGGATCCCGTTGCCTCTTAGCCTGACGTGTGGGACCTCAGATATTAACCAGTTATTGCCCACATCCCCCGTCATGTAATCCGTCACCGCCCATGTGACAAGTCGCACACGAGCAAACTCCGGACTGTAGTGATTCCACTACACCCCCGAGCCCCCCACACAAGCGTATACGTTGCTATGTCTACTACGCATTCGACATGCTATTGGCTGACAGCGCTTGGCTAAGGAACCAGTCGCACGACGGTGCGAGCATGTCGCGGTCGCGTGGCTCAACTTGGTTCATCGGAAAGAGCAACGTGTTAGCATGACAGAGGAAGCTGATATCTGGTTAGCTCAAGTTGTTACCTGTATGGCCTGACATGGATCGGAAATGGTATAGTAAGATCTCTGCTGTTCTAAGCGGTCAAAATTTGAAATTTTATTATCTCGCACCCGGTCGTATCTCAACGTCATATTGCTTGAGTGAAAATGCACGTCTTTGGTTTTCTATGTCGACTTACACGGTTTCATCCACGCTATGTCTGCGGTGGTAGTGTATATTATTGAAAATACGTCAATAGGGGTGCATAGAGCTTATTCTGACTGTGTATTCGAAAATGTCAGACGTTCTATAGGTCCACCCTGTCTTCTGGCAGTAACTCCGCGCACTACCTTACAATATCATCAGTCACTGCCCGACAGCGCCAGTCGTTTCACACATGCACGGAGTTGAGTTACCTGAGATGGAGGCACAACACATGTTACCGGTTTACAGAACAATAATAATAATAATAATACGTATTTTTCGCCTGATGTGAGAAAATGTGTCTGTAGCGGCACAGATCAATTTGTACAAAAGTATCTATGTTCTTGCAGTTCATCTGTTCATTAGTAAGCGGATTTTCGACTGAGCATACTGATAGATACCAGTAATGACGCGGATATTGAAGGTGTGTACGCACCAACAAATACAAGAAAACTTAACGTAGTCATGGAACTCAGTTACTTTTTCACTCTTCTCTTGTAGAGTTAGTTTATGAGACCAGTCTCAGAACAGACGGCGACATGTTGAACTTATGCTGTTAGAAGATGCGGGCGCAGGCACGTTGAATTTGGATCGGTAGTCAGAACTGAAATAGGTTTCTGTGTGACAAGTGAATGTCTATTAATTGGATTGTCTAGTGAGCAGACTAGCTCTAAGTTAGACATCCTATGACACTCAATCAGAGGTGTATCATCGGCGTATTATGTTACTACAAATCACTATGCACCCTTAAAATGAATTGAGGCCTAGGCCGAGCTTTAAACATTTGGAACAGCGGGTGCAACGATTAGTCAATGGATCTTAAGGATGGGGACTGACGTTTTCGCAACCGGTTGTTTCGCTTTGGGCTACCTGTCACATTTATCACTGGCCTGTGCTAATGTTCAAGCCTGGTGCGATTCAGCCGTGTTGGTGAAAGCGGAAAGGGAGTAAGGAAACGCACACGAACGTTGGCTATCAAGAAACAAACTAGTTCAATCAGAGAGTTATTTAGCTTAGTGTAGAAAATTCAACAGTGAACCCACTATGCTGTCCGTATTCGCAACACAGGTAGCCAATACGCATAGATATGAAGATCCCTGATCTTACTAGTTGCATTGTACGGTACCTAGTTTAGTGGAAGTAAATTCACAGGGTGATTGTGGCTACTAAAAAAAACAAACAATGGTGATTATTAACTGCCTACAGTTAAAGCAGGTCGATTGAGGAGATGTGGATGCCGCGTGATTCGTAGTTCCCTTTCGTCATAAGGAATGCAGTCCAGGATAGGTTCGTCACTCGGGGAGATTATTGGAAATGCTACTGAGGTTGAATTCACCGGATCGTTCCACGACTCGTATTCGCGCATACCATTGGTCCATTCCGGCCACAATCGTTTGAGGCGAGTGCGCATAAAGGTAATAGATGAATGATGCTGATCCGCTTGAGGTATGAGTCGAAGAAGAGCGTCTAGGTCGTAATTAACCTGGAACATAAAGTTCACAATAATAAATCGAGGTGAAAGCAAACAAAGTTTATCTCGGAAAGTCACCGATCAAACTGTGCGCAAGATCATGAATGAAGGAGTACAACGACCAGTTCTACCTATGTTCACAACAACTCCATCTGATAGATAGATAGGCAAATGTTGGTACTTCGCACCAACGTTCTGCTGTCACGCAGCCACCACCAGTCGCGTGCAGACTGGGAATAATGCGAAGTGAACAGTCACTACGCAGATTCAAACCAATGACCTGTAGGTCGTGAAGCAAATACCCTATCTCGACAAACTTACCTGCGTAGAGGTACGAGTTGGGTTGAGCGATGGAGACAAAAGTAGACTAAAGTGGTCTCAATCTAATCCGGTGTATACGTAACAATCTGTCATGTCGAAGTTGAAAAAGGAGCGGATAATGGTCCGCCAGTTGGCAACATGCGAACTAGGGTTGTAATAAGCCGATTGAGAGAGACAACGAGAAAGATACCTGACATGAAGTGAGGTTCCAGTTCGATAGCTAGACGAGTTGGGCAATGACGGGTAATCTCAAACAAAAAAGTGGCGAGAATGCTGACGTAGTTACGAACTGAGAAAAGTCTGATGCCCTCTGCTGTAGTTATGCTCTGAAACTGTCTTATTCGTTTGGACGCTTCAGGAGCAGCTAATTGGAGTCATACTGTAAAGTACTGCCTCTTGCATAGCGCGTGAATGGCCATCCTATCCATTTAACATCCCACTCGTTCAGAGAGGAAAAGGAGAGGATGTACAGGAAAAAAAGCAGAGACAAAAGTCATCAAAGCTTGTGAAACAGATCTTCAAGCATCAGGCGAGAGGGTTAAGAGAAAGCACCCAAGACAAAGCCAAACGAGCACAGAACACAAGGACAAAGACCAAAACGAAAACAGTTGGACGTTGGTGTGCAAAGGAGAGAACAACAACACCGAAAAGTAAATAATTTCGTTTCCGCGTATCGATAATGAACCGAAAGCCAAGTGCAGTGGATCAAGTTGTCAGAAATCCAATCAGGAAATAGTGGGTGAAATACGAATCACGGAAGGGGCCAGACAGAACTCAGGCGCAAACGCAAAAAAATTCGTAAAAAATGACGAAAACGAAAGCAAACGGTAAAGGTCAGACGTCCATATGCATAAACACCGAAAATTTCACGGACTCATCACGTTAACGAGAAGGGACATTAAGATGGTATTATGATTTGCGTAGTTCTGTGACACTGAACTAAACTGGGTGCCACTTACCAAATGCTTCAAAACAACATACCAGAGAAGTCAAGGGTTATGGGTTAAACCAACTCAACCTCGAAAGTGTGGAATAGGTCGATGGCCATCTTCATTCAAAACTCGGACATGGAAGCCAAAAGATTGTGTTATAGGCTCACAGCTCGTTTTGCCTAGAGCAAGAACGCCAAACATTGTCTCTGACGGTGAGAGGGAAGCACGCGGCGCTCATTGGTTTGCTCCCACCCGCCTCAAGCTCGGAAGCCCATAGAGAAGTGGGTGCAAACCCGCCAAGGCTCACATGCATAGGCGGTGATCGCAGGCGTGTACTTGTCCGAACTCATCAAGGGCTGCGTGTGACAGACTTGGAGCAGATTTGTATGGAACTCCGCAGTCGTACTCACTGAGCTGCACTGGCTATCCATTGTCTTTTAAGTCAGAATGTTGGGTCAAAGGCGAGAGGTAGGGCACCTCGAACAAAAGCCCACTCTGGGAATAGGAAAGTAGAGTACCATTAGCCCTCTAAACCCCGCCGTTAAGCATTTCCGCTTCCTGTCTTTAGTACTGCAACTCATTTCTTCCGTCTATTGAGAAAGAGACTTCCGTGAACACGCAGTCCGTGCTACTGAAGCACATGATTTCTTCTTCTAGTTATTAGCTAATAATAGCACACATTAATTCAAGAAGACCGGCCAATTTAAGGTACGTGTCTGGATTCCGAACAATCTCAACTGTGTGCACGCTTGGCGCTAACATTTCCCACTTAAAAGTAACAGCAAAGTACCAAGTTTCTCACCTGTAAGTTGAAATCAGTCTCCAGTCAACAATATCATGACAAACTGGCCCACAAATTGTCAATGACAAATGAGGTTGGTGAGCCGAACATTGGCTGTGATCGTCTTAAGTGTGCTATGAAGGAAGCTTTTGGCGCCCGCTGTGCGCCCAAATAGAGACGCACGAACTTTATGTGGGGTGTATGAAAAGTCTCGAGCCTGGTACCGAAAGCAGATAGCCAGGCAGGCCAAATTAAGTATTTTTATAATTTACCACTTCATTATTATTATTATCAGTAGTATACAAATTTATATTTCTATCTCTTTTGCTTCCATTTCAGCATATTGTTGAATTGAACAGGGTCTGCAATTTGGCGAAAATGGAAATTGGTGCATCGTGTAGTGACCATATATTTGTATCACAAACTAATGTCACTAGCTGAAATCCACCAAGATATGCTTAATACATTGAATAACAATGCCCCTACATATGCCCCGGTTAAACTTGCATGCAAGAATTCAAGTGCAGCAGGAAGAGTAATGAAGATGAACCCAAGTCAGGGGGATCATCAACAGCCAACACTAAAGGAAATATTGACCAAGAAGTGGACATGATCATGTAACATTGCCGATTAACAACTCGTCCGATAGCACAGAGGTTAAGCATTACCCAGGATCGAGCAGATAATATTCTGAAGAAGGAGTTAACCTACTCAAAAGTCTCCCCTCGATGGGTGCCACATCTTCTGACTCTTGAACAGAAACGCATTCGGTAGTTGATGTCAAAGGACAATCTGGAACTGTTTGAAGCAGATGTTGACAAGATTCGTGCACAATGCATCACAATGGGTCCAACACTTTCAACCAAAAGAATAGGATAACCAAAGCGATGGAAGCGTGCTTCATCTCCTGTGACAAAGAAGGTCAAGCTTACACCGTCAGCAGGCAAGGTGATGGCATCGGTGTTTTAGGATTCACGGAAAGCATTACAGTGAGCCTATAAAATGTCTCAGAGAAAATATTGAAGAAAAGAGGCCAGGAAGGCTGATGAGAGGAGTCATTTTCCATAGTGACAACTCTCCACCTCACACGTCTTCCACTGCTTACTAAACAATCTATGAGTGCGGCGTAGAGCATCTCCCTCACTCATCCTATTCACCAAATCTGACTCCTACTGACTTCCACCTAGTTCCAAACATAAAAAAGCTTCGGCAGGCAAACATTTTCTCAACAATAGTGACGTCACTGAAGCTGTGAGGGCATTTTTAGTCACAACCAGAAGAGTTATTTTCCACTGGGTAAAGGCGACTCAGCACTGTTGGAGCAAGTTGGTGCTTTCCCTTGACTTGAAAGCCGCTTTCGAGTTCGTTTTTCGCGCCAGCTTGTGGAGCTGCCTATCCATCATACAGTCTCTTTACTCTGACTCGCGAGGCCCGATAAGGGTCTAATGGAGACTATCCTCTGAGTTCTGCACGATAAATGGGGTTCGCCATGTGTCCTACATATCATTTCCTCTTCAAATTGAGATCGAAATGAGCATGAATGACTCGTTTCTTTCGGACTTTAACGGAAAGCAAATGCTGTCAGATGGACGACTAACAAACCTTGGGTATGCGGACGATATACCTCTCCTTGAGTCTGGCACAGTGGCTATGCAAACACTACTAAAGAGACTGACGCGTAGCGCTGTACGATTCGGCATGTAGTTTGCACCTTACAAGTGCATGGTGTTGTTAGGATACTGGACTGACATGCCACCGTTTCTAGCTATCAGCGAACAGATACTGGAAGTATTGATTCGTTTCACTAACCTTTCTATCTGCCTTACCTTTGGTGTCTCATCACAGGGGAAGTTACTTTGAGTATCAGAAAGACTCGAGTGGCTTTCCAGAAGCTTAAATCTATATAAAGACGGCGGGTATCAGCTTGTCAGTGAAAGGTAGGGTGTACAACGATGCGATAAGACCCGTGTTGCTGTATGGATCAGAGACCTGGCCAGTTCGTAGTGAAAACCTTAAACGCTTGGCTGTGGTTGACCCCCGGTTCGTACAAAGTATTGCTGAATGGGTGAGAAATGACGAAGTCAAACAGTCGATTACTGGCAACGAATCCGCTGGTGCCTCAATCGAGTGTTTGTTAAAACCTAGCATGCTGGTTGACCGGCTTCCTCGGAAACTCGTCGCATGTTCACCAGACCTTACTAGCAACAGGCAAATCCCCATGTGGTAAGTATAATCGTCAACATGGACATTGGGTCTCTTCGCGGTCTCTTTAACTGTGGGAGCAGGAAACTGTTCCTACCGACTGGAGCCGCTCCGTTATTGTTCCCGTCTTCAAAGGAGCCTCGCGCTCGAAATGCGACAACCATAGAGGAATCGGTCTGATCCCCATCGACTCCAAAATACTTCACAGACTGACTGGCGCTCGTGAAAGACAGATTCGTGAAGAGCAAGCCGAAATTCGTCGGCGTCTTGGCTGTATCGACCTTATCTTCACTTTGCGTCAATTGTTGGAGCACCGTCACACATATTGGCGGCCCACCGTAGTCGTGTTCCTTGACACCAAAGATGCCTTCGATTCGGTTGATCGAAGTGCTCTTTGGGACTGTCTACTCAGGAAAGGTGTACCTGAAAAGTATGTAAATATTATCCGAGCATTATACACGCATAGCAAAGACAGAGTGAGGGCTTCCGGTATGCCTTCGCCGCCCTTTAATATCTCTAGCAATGTGAGACAAGGATGCCCGTTGTCACCTTTCCTCTTCAACTTCGCTATTGACGAAGTCATGGAGATTGCATTAACAGGATATGACATATTTGTGGAGCTACTCCCGGGAGAAGGACCTCTTGACTTGGAGTATGCAGACGACATTGCCCTCATCTGTGACAGCTCCCAGACGTGCCGAGCTACACTGGACAGATTAGCACTGGCTATCAGCCGCTTCGGGTTTTGCTTTGCACCATCGAAGTGCAAAGCTTTCCCCCAAGATTGGCACGGATAGCCTCCTGCGCTGACTCTTGGTGGGGACCAGATAGAAGTCGTTCAAAATTCAGCTACCTGGAAAGTTGTATCAGCGCCCGTGGGATTGAAGATGAGATCAGGAACCGTATAGCAAAAGCTCGAGGTGCTTTGCTAGCCTTCGCCACCTATGGCCCTGGCGTGACATCACTCTCGCCTTGAAGGGTGGAGTGTACAATGTAGTGGTACGTTCGACCTTACTGTACGGTTGTGAAACCTAACCCCTTAGATCAACGGACATAAAGAGGCTAGTTACGTTCGACCACCGGTGCCTTCGCAGTTTGGCTCACATCTGGTGGGAACACCGCGTGAGTAACGTGCGTGTTCGACACCTTCTTTACAGCACAGAAAAAGGAACTGAACCGCTCAGCACCGTCATTTCACGCACCAGGCTCCGATGGCTCGGCCACGTGTTGCGCATGCCAGCCCACCGACTCCCGCGACGTGTGTTGTTTGCGCGCTGGGGGTATGGATGGAAGATGATAGGTGGCCAGGCGATGACTTGGTCGAGAGGAATAAAGGCCCTCACCTCGGAGCTGGCCTCGGTTGGACCTTCTCTGGTTGGGGTCCAAAAGACGATGAACACGTTTGGTTGGATACACTTGCTGACATGGCAAGGAGCCGACCTCAGTGGCATTCCTGTCGTGAATTTCTTTGTCCCTCCCCATCCCTTTTAGCCTCCCCACCAAGCGCTATCTCATTTCGTAGCGTAATATAATTTTACATGATAATTTTTCTTGTTGCCTAGTAGCCGGCTGGTAGGTTACCGGAACGATGCCCATCCGTTGCTGGTAGCTCAGCTGGCATGCAACTTGTATTTATTTTCTTTTTTCGTTCATGTATTGCGGCATAGTAGCTGAGGTGTTTCCCACCTCTAGCTAACGTGTATAATGACGATGATGATGATTCCTCGGCGCGCATTATACGCCGTGGCTGTAGCAAGTCGGACGACGTAGCGAAATTGCCAGTCGATGATGTGGCATAAAGAAGATGACCGAGAGACTTGGTCAGTCGATGTGTTGCCTTCGGGATTAGGCTCTTCGGATTGGTCCACATCAGTGGTTGGTAACATCTCTGAACGTGGCCGAGTCGCGTAGGCAGCGGCGCTCTGCATTCATATTTTTCCATCTAGGCGATAATTTTCCTTCCATCCCGTTTACTTTAACGCATTGCTTTTTATCGCGCTATTTTCTTTGTTTTCCATTAACGTGCATGCTCAGTTTCTTACTACTTCACTGTTACACTGACCACGCGACTCATGGCAATCAGGTCCATTGCACTTCAGTTCCTGAATCACAGTTGCTTAACCGAACTGATCTGCATCACATCGGGTAGAGTCCCTAATCGTACACGTGTCGTCATACGGCTTCCATCCAGGAAGATGGCAAATAACGATCTTCCACCACCTACTCAACAGATAAATGCCTCTATTGCCTTGAGTTATACTCAACTCAGACATAGCCTAGCCGGTCGAGGTGCGATGCAGAACATCATCTATATGGTGACAGGCTGATTATGTACATCACGGCACCAGATTAGTTTATCCCTCCTACAACTCATACCAAATTCTATGTACGATTGAATATACGTAGCACAATAATCAGTCATGTTTACACATTGCATAGTTATGTATCATGCAATTGTTGAGTCCATTTCGCTCCATTGCGTATGCATGCTCCCTTGTTTGTCTACCTCACCTCGCCATTCCCTCTCCCGAGATCTACTGACGTTTGATATAAGTCGCTTGGATATTCCCATGCGGAACGACTATACAGAGAACGCTCACTTGAATTGATGAAAAGCTAACCTATTGATATTTCAAACAACCTGTCGGGAACACCGTCGTCGTGCACTGCGTTTTTCCCGGATACGAACAACTTGATCCGACCTTGCCTGTCACTGAGAAACATTACAATCATTTGAATCATTTGGTTTCGGATTGGCCTACGTACTATGATCACATTGTCGGTAAGGAGAAACAGCTTCAAGCGCTTTTATTACAATATACCTTCCCTATATACCACATTCTTGGTATTCAAGGGACTGGAATTCCCTGAGGAGGTTATTAAATTCTTGCAAAAACCTGGCGTTACATATTGGCTCATGAAATTCCTCCAAACGCACCTACCACAATATTCTTTCCCATTGTTACCTCGTTCATGCTATTCAAAAGTATGAAAAATTCAACCTTACTCGTTTTGTACGATCTCGTCAAGTACTCACGGGGAATTTCGACAATTCTGTTGAACAAACCATGTATGAAGCTTCAACCCTTTTGCTAAGAAGCGTGCTAAAAATCGGTCAACGATCTGTGTAATCCTCAGGATCGCGGCGACTGCGACTAGCGAAGGATACGTGTCCGCGTGTTGTATCAACGCTGGAGAAGTGAAACAAATCTAATTGCGCTGAATCTATCAACATTTGGCCACGCAGCTTACACGGAGGATTCAAAGAAAGAGCTTGATCGTGCTAATACACTCAGAAAAACCCTCGTGCCATGGAGTTATGACACAAAACTTTGTCGCAATTTCCTATTCTCAAGTAAATTTGTTCCAAATCAGCGCAATCAGTTAAAAACATGATACTCCTTACCACAATGGGATACGACAAGGATCATATTTTTCAACATGTGTGATAACGCCACAGTGAGACATATCAACTGTTCTTAGAACAAAATTTCCCATTTAAATTCTTAAGCAACACGGGTCTTCTCAGATGAACATCACCGTTGTATTGTAGATGACCGCATCAATATGACCATGTCTCAGGCGTGCCTCGCAATGCCGAGAATAAACAACGTACTATTTAATTGGCTTTCGGTCAATTTCTAAACCTCTTCCCGCCATCTCATTGATCGACCACCCTGAGTATCCACCTGACCACGCACAGTATCCGAAAATAAACGTGCCTAGTTAGATTAACAGCAGTCACATAAAGGACGCTGCCAGGCGCAGAACCTGATCGAATGATCCATCGGAAAGTTTGCCCGTTAGTGGAATACAGTATTTCTTAGTGTTTCCACCAGTCATGAGCAATGGTTCCCGAGCGCCACTGATCAAACGCGATCATCCTGTTCGCATCGCCAGTGTGAAGTGATCCTATCACTGTTCCATATGGGGATACCAGCAGCGATGCATCCCTGTACATCTCACCGTTGTTAGATGAGTTGAGAACGTCCCGTCCCCACAGTTGTGTGAGATTTTAACGACTCACCTGGACCTAAACAACGCGCAGTAGTCTTCTCAGAGATGAGACTATCCGAAGTACTGAGAATTACGTAGAAAACATAACCGACAGCCACTATGAGTGACTATTCGGGGATGGTGAAAACATTGGATCAGTCCGGCAAGAGTATCCGGTGTTTGATAATGTGAGGCACGTACCAAAGTACAGTTCGCAACTTGATCTAACACCATGGCAGCAATATCGTTTACGCAGTCTAATTCTATCGCCCATGCACCTGGCTGAATACGAACTAGAAAAAAACGGATAGAGTAGAGTAGAGTCAGTTATGACCAGTTCGGCCAATAAATCGAAACTGAAGACACAGGTAAGGCATAGCTACCGCATCCCATTTGTCGTGCAGAACCTAGACGACAAGTCCTCGTAAAACCACTCCTGTTTACCTTACGCCTCTTACTGATCACCCTATCGAAAGAAAGAACACGTGTAAACAATCCAAAGCAATATGGACCACCTCAGATGACCTGTAGAAATTGGCTGTTGCACATAGCCATCGTCAAAGAGCAAAGCGATATGGAGAGAATAATTTAGATCAACCAATTTTGTTTCATACAGCATACGAATATCTATATTGTAAGATTCCGAAATGGGAAACTGGACGAAGCAGACTACAACAAAGTCGTGGGAGCAATGGGAAGCTGGAATCCATGACGAACGTCACCTGTTTTCGGAAAGGCGCCTGACGACTCGCTGTACAACCCGACACTTGGTTTGGGAGTGCAGCTATTGAAGAATATTGATGTTTCATGGGAGCACATTTGTGTCAGATATCGCGGTGGATAGAATGGAACGGTTAATTGAGGAGGATGCGTTCTGTGTTCGGCATACCACATGTGTGATCCTTTTCTAGCAGCCACGATGGAGCGATGCTGTAAGCCATGCAGCTTCGACCCAACCCGAACCCACACATAGTCGTTCGTTGCTGGCGTTTGAGTGCAATTTGGTGTACGTACAGAAGTATGCAGCAGTGCAGTAAACAAAATCAGACAACATGCCAGACATTGGATTACAGTATGTTAAGAGAAGGCCAGCAGCTCTCAGGAATATCCTGACTACCGACTACAATTGTCGTGAGGCCACTGATGAATATTGACTGAGCTGGCATGAGCGACCGCGGTGCAGGTTCTCGCCAACACAGCAAAACAGTGTTATCACACGGTTGTCGGTTGCAGAATGAATGAATGTTGTGTATAACGAAAGAGGTAAATTTGTACATGTCAACAGATGGCCGAGGGTCAGCCTAGTGCTACTCTCAGCCGCCGGGATGCACATAAGCAATGAAGAGTAAATCAAACTGATGCGCGCGTCGATCGAATGTATCCCTCGATAAACTGGGAGCATGGAGATACACGCAAAAAGAAAAGCATTATAATGCAAGGGATCACTCACGTAAGCATTCGGAAACACCGAAAACTGCTTCCGATTCTCCATAACTGGGCAGATACCTTCAATCTGAGGAGAATAGTTAGGAAATCGTTGTCAATATGGTATGATGGAGGATCAGATGAATCGCAAAGATTCCCAGTAACCGGAGGTAGTAAACAGAACGAATCGAAACTATAATAAGTGGGAGGATTCACTGAAAACGAAAGCATTGTGACCGTCCACGTCGGGCCTGGAGCATAGGACATTATACATGACGGTCCGCGATACGAAAAGTTGGGAGTTAGCTGAACCGCGCACTAGAGACAAGTCAGTAATGAAGGCAAACTTCCTGTAAGGCTGAATGGCGAGAGGAAAACGCCGCATATGAGCAGACACGGACGGGTTTGAATGAGAGACAGACAAGAATGACTCACGATCTAAAATGAGCAAATACTTTGCCTGCGTAGTCCGTCAAATAGGACGGAATTTGAGGATGAAATGTGGTTGGAAATGTGAGAGGGTGTGCAACTACAACATCATTGTCAGTGCAGCTTCCCACTGAGATGGGACCGAAGGATTCTGTAGTTCCCGGGGCAACCCATATGCAGTAAAACAGACTAGATGTAAGGTGCAGCAAACACTTCTCCCCTGTGTGGCAGATGATAGCATACGATAACAGCGGAGTTGCAAGCTATCCTAAGCGTCTAAGGCTGCGGATTCGGGGACGCATTCCTTGTGCGGGTATGTGCGAATAAGTCCCGTTTGTCTTAAGGATCACAAACCTGTCTAGTAATTCCACGGCGCGAGTTCGAGCCGGCGTAGGGACCGGGTGACCCTCGCAGTATTCTTAGCCCATGTGCGACTGGTATTGGTTGCGCGGCAATGAAGCGTCGGTTCTGCGTACTGGCGTACTGCTGATATGTCATCCGGCACCAGCAATGCTTTGTAGTCAACAATGATCAAATACTTGGAGGCACCTCAGATCCTCAGACCGAATAGGCCTAGTCTTACTACCATATAACATGACGACCCTCACTGTGGCCTTGTAAATACGAGCTTACAAAGGAGAACACCAATGTGACATCATAGACGTTACGGATTCAAGGCAGTTATAGCTACTGCAAAACATGAACTCACTTAATTCGTTATGCACCAATCGCTGCTGATGAAGCCGCTAAGGTGAGTGATTCGATCAACCATCTCGAGTTCCTCACTATCAACGGTTAAATGGTCATCAAGTGGCTGGTGATTCGCCAACAACAATTTGCACTTTGAAGAAGCGAAACGCATGCCAATTGATGGGTTACTCAGGTTTGATAAGGCCGACCCAATATCGTTAAACAGCAAGACAATATCGTCCGCATAATCAAGATCAATAAACATTTCCCCAGACAGCACCTAAAGGCCTGAGATTCCACTACTGAAGACGTGATGATAATGTCCACGATGAAGTTGAAGGAAAATGGGGAACAGCAGTTTTTGGTAAAAATAATTGTTTGCAATGATTCGTCTACGGGTCGTTACAAATCATATAGGGTTAAAATATGGAGAAATGCAAAGACGTAGGTCACTGGTTAGACAGCAAATAGTTGGTCACTGTCTGACGCAGTTAATAAGAAACACTTCTCCAATTACCACTAACCCGCTTATTCCTGTGTGTAACAAGGACAGAGTGTCGAGGCTGACTTCCTCTTACGTAATCTATCGATTTGTTGCAAAATGCATTGGTCGAACAACCCGTCAGTTGTCACCTCGCATTAAGGAACATAGTCCTAAATGGTCGGCGAGCGGAGGCGTTGTTAAAGCAAGCGGAATTTCGTCCCACCTATCCGAATCAGGTCACAGGGTTAACCCTCCAAATGCATTTACCGTGATTGACCGGGTCCCTTTGAACAAGTCGAAAGGTCCGCGTCTACGAATGCTCGCCACAGCAGAAGCTATTGCGATCTGAATATTGTAACCCTCGCTATGCTCACGAAAGCTTGTTCATTCGATCTGTCTACGCTGACCAAACACAAGTCAATCTAACCGTCACTCTGACACCGGTATCGTCAGTGTGATTACGTAATTCAGATAGACCTGTGTGTGTGTGTGTGTAAGACGGCGATCAATTGTCTGCTAAGCATTGATCTACGTCTGAACCAATCACCATGCAGTTCTTCGGACTTTAACCTTGTACCGGCCCACAGATGAATTAATGGAAACAATTGTTTGCCTCAGAGTGGTGTACTCTATAAATCTGAGATGTTCCATATAAAAATGGGAAAAGTGGACAATCCTGATGAACGTCAGTCGTTGTCGAGATGATATCCGATAAGTCACTGCAGACCTTGACAAGGCCAGTGGCGTTCGAGTACAGGTCATGTAAAACGTTCACATATTTCGTGGGAAAATCTTTCTGCGCAAGTATTTCAAACAGAATGCATCGATCGACTGAGTCGAATACACTCATGAAGTCGAGGAACACAGCTATTTGCGATCAGCGATACGCGCGGCGCCGATCTAGCACCTGCCGCAGAGTGAATATGTGGTCTATACAGCCACCTCCTGGGCGGAAACCGGACTGCTCTTACCTAATCCGAGATTCTCGATCCACAGTGAGGCCACGAACGAGAATCGATGACAGTAGTTTTGTCACAACTGGCGTTAGGTTAATACCCATGTGGTTAGAACAATCTGTACGACTTCGCTTATTGTATATAGCCACTATAATCAATTCATTCCAGTTAGCCGGGACACTCCCTTCCAGGTGCTTGGCAGAGGACCTCGCCTCCATCCTTAAATAGTGCAGGTGGGAGGGAATCTGGGCCAGCAGCACAAAAACGATTGAGGGCTGTGATCGCGTTTCGGACCTCAGTCTCCGATGGAGACTCTAAACTAACAGTCCATGGCTCAGCCTGTTCTACATGAGTAAGAAGGGGTCTGGCAGCATGGGGCCAACTGAACTGATCTTGAATGTGTTCCACCCAACGAGCCATACGGCGCTCCTTATTGTGAATCAGTGAACCTGCGCCCTCTCTGATCGTCTCACTGACGCCTGGTCTCCTGGGATCAGTGGTGCGGATCAGCTGGAAGAGCTTGCGGTACTTGCCTACTGCTTCGCATGCCTACGGAGCGTTTGCCTCACCGTGCACTCTGCGCGCATAGAAGTCGGTTGGAAGCGAAGACAAGGTGGCCAGCGAATGACTTGGGCGAAAAGTATGGAGATGTTGACTTCACATTTGGCCTCGGTCAGGCGCTCTCGACTCCTCGGACGGGGACGCAAAGACGATGAACACACTTGGCTAGAAATCCTATCGGACATGTTAAGAAACCGTGAGCAATGGCGAACATGTTGTGAGACTCTGCCCCCATGACTCCAGTTTTACCCTTTGTACCCTCTCTATTTCCTTACTATTATTGTATTATTAGGTCTGCCCATACGTTGTGGCACTCTGCCAATTGAACTGTTGACTATGTTCGTGCCTCCTCCATTTCTTGAGCCCAACTGGTTCACCAGGCTTCCTTATCAGCATGCAGGCTCTGTTTTAGTTCGCGTCTAATAGTCCGCTAAGTTGCATTGTGCTCAGAGCTAGCCGGGTTTTCGTGTGGATTCCAACAGGTTCATAGATTTCTCGGATATCCAGTGAGTGTTGCGGTGATTTTTTTATAGTGCCGCAAGCAGAGGCTCCCGCATCGTGCATGCCACCAATAGTAACTCCCAATCAAGTACAGTTAAGGAGGCTACATAACGGGGTGCAAATCAGATTGGAGTACCCGTCTCCATTCGGATCACGTGCTCGCGTGTGCCAAATTTGTGTTGGTTTCGTTGGTATCCAACAGAGGAGCCGGAAATGACTTGACATAGCCGAAGTTGACGCCCTGAACATTCTGAGTGACTTTCAGGATTCGTTAGCCACTAATTTGAAGAGCCTTAGACTCAGAAACATCTAGGCACACTTCCGGAGTGCAATGTAAAAGTCCACAACAGTTGTCTGCAGTCTTAATAGACACATCATAAATTAGCAGATTTCCGCACGCCCGGTTCAGCTGATGGATGTTGAACAATTTCTGGTTGTGCTAAATACAATTCATTGCAGAGCTACCAACACCGAGCTCAGACAGCTTCTCAGAGACAGCTGTGAAGGCCGGATGAAACAAGCTGCATCCTCAAGAAATTTCAGATCCACCGGTGGCAAGAATGCGACTGTAAGCTGTTGTGTTGCCTCCGAAATGCTATGCGAAACCGGCGGCAAGTCAACTCACAAGTATTAGCGTCGGATTGTGAGTCGAACAAAGCGCTTTGAACAGTAAACTGCGATCTAGTTTAAACTCTCCTATCCATGGTGGGCCCTGACTGACGCTTCCTATGAGCTTCGTCTTCCGAAATGTCACAAACCTTCTGATCATGACGAATTGCTTCAGCCTTTATTCAAAGATTGAGACCCTCCCCGTCTAAGAGATCTGGAGCACAGAAGTCATCCTGTCTGAGGGAAGCTTAGCGGACATCGTGCCTGCCTTCAAAAAGGGTAAACAAACGGACTGTACCAAATAACGAGGGATCATCCTTAGTTCAGAGTTTTAGCTTCCGTGCTATTACGGAAGCACAGCAGGGTACGTGAACGCTTACGTGAAGAATAAGCTGTGTTTCGTCCAATTCGGAGCAGTAATTATAACATGTCTACGATCCGCCAGATACTCGAGCACCGTCGGGCTTTCAATCGGCCCACCGTTGTTTGCTTCCTGGACATACGTGATGCTTTTGATTCGGTTAGCAGAGTCGCTCACTGAGAAATATGTTAACATTATTCAGAATTTACTCCCAAACGTTGGGTTGACAGCGAGTACATAGTAACCATTCGCAATCCTAAGGTATCACCGGAGGTGTGGGGTAGTGTTGACCTGTATCATCTTACTCAACAACACTATGGATGACGTCTTGGAGCGTGCTTCGGGAAACTGTGAGCCTAGTGGTTTCAAGTTGCTCCCGGGTGGTTACCTCCGTGAGGTGGAATATGCGAATAACATCACCGTAATCTGTTACTACCCATAGCCTTCCCAAAACAAGATGTTCAGGTTATAGATGTCTGTCATACATTTCGGAATGACTCTCGAAGTGTAAGATTCTAATTAGAAATGAGGAGTTTGTTTACTTTCAGAACCAAACTAGCGTAGGCGGATTAAGGGATGAGGTTGCTTTGCGAATTTCCGAAGACATAGTTGCCGTTGCCAGTATTCGACATTTCTGGTGCCAGTGTGAACTTAGTCCTTCACTAAAAGAGCGAGTCTACAACGCTACGGTACGAGCCGTGCTCCCTAACAGGCGTGAATCGTGGCCCGTTTGCGAGAACGACGTTCGGAAACTATCTGTTGTCGATCAACGTTGCCTCCAATTGGTTCACCAAACAACTTCCGCGTGATGCCGAAGGGAACTTTGGGTTTATGCCATCCCAGAAAAAGATTCATAAGCAGTGTTCCAGGACGCAGTAAGTTTGCGTCCGGTAGGTCTTTTCTTACACAAAGCCAGAGACGTTTGTTTAACAACACTGCGACGTGGGTGTGACTCGCCACTAAATAAAGTTAAAAATCCTAGCTTCACCGCGATGCAGCTGAATTCTATCACTGTGAGGAAGATGGGCCCCAGTTGGGTAACAACCAAAGGCATTAGAATAGATAAGTCGATCACATGCTCCTATTGGACTCAAATTCCTGAATTCGTCCCGAGGTCTTGTGAGAAAGCTGTTAAATCAAATGCTCAAGGAGGAATCCCCTACGTCAACTTCCTAATTCGGCTTCAGCAACTGGGAAGTACAATGCCGTCTGAAGAAACCAAGGATTACACTGCCAGTTGGTTGCACTCTCTCATTTCTGTTGCCTTCGCCACCTTTCAAGTTTCAGAAGACAACAACCACTCTTCTGTTAAAAATTCCCGTTACCCTCAACATAATCTAAACACCGATTTTGCTGCCGTCCATGAAGTTCAGCCGGAGGCTGTCTTTTCACCCGATCCTCGCTTCGGTGGACACTCTTTAATGTTCAGATACTCATGCAGATCGAGCAACAGGCAGGCCTGTCAAGTACCCTTAAATCCCTTGTTATTGATATATGCAAGATTCCTGAAACGCGGCTGCAAGACCCAAGCACCATGTTCAAGTTGTCATCACGGACTGACCAGGAAGCCACATACCACTTGTCTTTGTTTGTCAACGCAGAATCAGCTACAATTGGTTTGGCAGGCGTTGGTATTGAATTAAGCAGAAAAGCCGAATCCACACTTATCGACTGGTTTCATGTTGATAATCTAGTATGGGCAGCTCGGTTTCAAGGCTTTTACAGGTATCGTGCTGAAAGACGTTAGGTGTCTGTGGTTTCCGCCTGGTCGCCAACCGATTGTAGCTCTGAATCGATCATGGACGATGGTTAGTACCAAGTTCTTTAGTTGTTATACAAAGCCGTCATATCAAATGTTGTTATCCTCGCCGGCGGCTTCAATGCAGATGTCGGTCACCAGCTACCAGGTGAACATGACGTGAATGGTCATCACACAGTGAACGAGAATCGCTCAGGTAACGGAACCAGTCTTCACACTTTGTGTGAAGACAACAGTCCATTCCTTACAAGAAAAAATTCAGGCACTCCAGATAATCTGCCGTCTTTCACCAACACAACATGGCCTCAAACAGGCCACATTGCATTCGGTTTCAGATGACGGGGTTGAATACAAGACTGTAGACCATTTTGGTCTACTTATCTAGCTTCGGATCACGCATTGGTCTGTGCGAACACCGAAACGGAAGCATTGTTGGCTCGATACAAGTAGCTTAGCTGACAAGTCGGCTTAACTGATCAGTCAACTGTGATTGGTAAACACATTAGAATGTGCTTCGCCCACTGACATCGAAAACAAGTGGAGCTTTCTGCAGCATGCAATGCCGAATTCTAGGGAATCATCCCTAAAGAGTAGAATTTCTGTACGCCCCTTGGTACCGTTTGGTCACCGCCGCACTTCACCACATTCTCAGTAGACAACGCGAATGGAGAGTTCACGGCGATCAGGAAATTTGGGGTTCAAGACCTGCCTTGGAGATGGAGGTCGCCGCTATCGGTAGTAACACTCACAGGCTGATCCAGCAAGTTCGGAACACTAGACACAGCAATGAGCCGTACGGGTCAAATCACTAACTTGCAGAGACGCATGGACAGATGGGTTGCACACTTCATATCGCAATTCAGTTGCTTTTCTATGTTCACGTTTCCACCGAGTGCACCCAGTCATATGCCATGGGCGGTGGTACCAGAACTTACCCCATAAAGTGGAGATTTGTCTTGGAAGTAGACAATCGATGTGCTTTAAGACTGCATACTCAGAGGAATTACTACAGGCACTATTCAAGTACCGTGGTACAGCGGATGTCAATTAGCTGACGACCCAATTCTGAACATTTGGCAAAAAGAAAAGATACTCTACTCTTGTGGAGTCAGTTATTGTCCCGATCTGCAAGAAAGGCTCCCGTACTCTATGCACCAATCACAAAGGTACCTGTTGGATATTGGTTGCCTCTACGTTACTAGCATCTATAATGCTCCATAGGCTATCCACGACTGAAGAGACACTACCGTGAGGACCAGGATAATTTTGGTCCCGGTCTGGGATTGGTGGGTTAGCTGATCGAACATAGCCGCCTCTATCGCAGACCCACTTTCCTCGCTTTTATTGACTTTCGGACTGCATCCGACTCAATAGACCGGTCTGCATCAAGGCATTGTCTACTAAAGGACGGAGTTCCCGAAAGGTGTCGCTATTTTTAGGCACTATACCTATGTACTTCAGGCAGAGTGAGGGTCTACGGCTAGCTTTCTGCAGTATTCCCTGCCGATAGTGGTATGTGACAAGGATGCCCTATGTCTCCGTTTCTCTAAATTCGCGATCGAAAATGTACTGCTGGTTACAGAATGCCGGTAATGGACTTGTTCCAGATAATCGAGTGACCGACGTAGAGTATGCTGATGAAATCGCGTGGCTCGGTGACAACTCTTATGGTATACAGTTGATCCTGGAACGATTATTGGTTGAAGCGTTTGAGTAGGTGCTTTGCCTCCACCAAGTGCAGAGTTCTGCTAAAAGATTACAAAATACAATCCAAGCTGCTATGGTGGCCAGTCAAAAAACACCCCCAACGATCGCTCCTTTGAGTAATGTCCCAATGCACGAACCTGTCAATGGCGACCACTTTTTGTCGGGCTCTGGAGTGGTCGCGTTAGAAAGGTTCGACTGTACCCTATTCTCAGTCCACCATGAAAGGCACACAGCTAGAATAAGTGGAAAGTATTATCTACCTAGGGAGCCGCACTTCTGCCGATGACACTAGTAAAGAGAAAGTATGCCTTCGTATCGCTAAAGCCCAGGTAACCTTTGCCAGCTTGGGACATTTGTAGCGTCATTGCGATATTTTGCTCAAGTTAAATAGCAGGGATTAGAATATCTGTGTTCGCGTGGTACTGCTGTATGTATGCGAATCCTGGCCGGTACGTATAGAAGCGTGCGTAGAGTTTCGGTCTTCGACTTGAATGAAGATCGTGTGTGCAGAATGTGGCAACACCGAGTGCACAGAAGCGTTCTGAGAAAGACGGATCTTCCGCTCTGGAAACTTATTATTTGCAAATAATGGAGATGGGTTAGCCACATCCTGCGCATGTCAAACTAGTGTTTGTCACACCGCACCTTATTTGCACAAACAGGGTTGCAGTGAAAGTGACAGTGTGGAGGCCAACAGACCACTTGGCGACAAAACATGAAATCACTGACATCTTACTTAGCCATTGTTGGCACCATGTGTTTCCCGTTGGGGAACAGAAGATGAAGTACGCCATCGGTCTACAACGCTCGAAACAATGGTTTAAAACTGGTTATAGTGGAAACAATGTGCGTAAGTATTCGTGAACTCCAAAACTCAAAAGCATTAGTTCGTAAGAACGACCAAAAGAAAGTGTGAAAAGTGGCAAAAAAATATTTGTTTTTTGTTCCTTGTCATTATTGTTTCGATTTACAAACGTTGCACATTTTACTATTCTTTAGTTAACAATGCTTTAAGGAGGTGTACGTTCCATCAATAAATGAATATTGTGTAAAAATGAGAAAAAGCTTTAGTACCTCACTCAAATATCGCAAAACGGAACATTCAGAACCATCGACACCAAGCTTCGCATAGCAAGGATGAGATTCCCAATGGGTTTTGAGCCACTGATAGCAGAAAAGAGGGAAAGTAAGACAAAAAGACGATGTTAGAGGGATAATGTATATTCATAAAGGCCAAGAGAAGCAGTGAGTTACTATAGTTGTCTCACACATTACTACATAACGCAGGCTACATGCAAATGAGACAGTAAACTGTAAGTCCGGGTGGAGTACATTGGGGAATCAGGTCGCATGATAGCAACGCAGCAAATATTGATTGTACTCGGTTAATGCCAATGATGTACAAATCCCCACATTCGGTATTTAAAGCAGCGGTGTGACACCGAATGGGTATCAGGGACGGAGTCCGGCTGACACACTATGTAATAAACAGGAGAGCTGCATTGTTGGTTGGTGTATAATAATGGAAGTGCAATCAATGACGCCGATAGAAGTTCTTCCGGTCAGTTTGGGAAAAACAAGCATAGAGAGGACAAACAAACATACGGAAATCATAGAGTACCGTAATCTAATAACCAAGTTCACGTAAAATTGGAAACGGACACAGTTGGAGGTAACCAGTGTGAGAATGTGGATTCCAAAGAACGCTCATTTGTGGCTAGAGGTGTCTCGTCAGAAATGGCAGCGCATGGATTGTCTAAGTCCGACGCCTCTTAAAACAACGGATGTGTCCCGCCTAAATTAGTAATATTCTATAGTGACTCCGAAGCACACATGTGGCCCAAGATATGCAGTGTCAACTTATCGCCCCATAAATCCCACTCCCACCGCGCCAAATATCTTAGAGCGAATACTTAAGCACGGCACTGTTCAATTGTTGACACAATTAGATTTGATCAACAGCAGGCAACTAGACTTCTTTACCAAGCGCTGTGAGCGTAACACGCCTGTCACAATTATTGGACCAGGTTACGTTAACTAGTACCACATTAGTAGACATGTCACAGAAAGTAGCGCTATCTGTCCTGAAAAAAGAACGGGTAAGCAATCCCCTGACAAGCTAGTGCAAATCGTACAAGAAAGATGAGAATGGGAATTAAAACAAGTCAGAATTGCTTTACTCTGAAACATATTGTTGGCGAAGCCGTCCAACGAATGATGGTGGGTTACAAAGGCCCGTGTGATGGAGGAAGCCAACGCTATTGCAAACAGCCGAGTGCGATTCCAGCACATCCGGAACACTGGTCCGAGAAGCCATCAGTTAGCGAGACAATAGTTGAGAAAGATGGACAATTGATCCATTCTCAGCCTCGTTGATTAGCCCGTTGGACGGTACATGTTGAAGAGTTGTTCAGCAGGCGTGCTGCGACACTGCCACCTGGTGAATCGTCTGAGCTGATGTGAGATGCTGATGTCACATCTCGCACTTTGGAAGAGATACGACAGGAGCTTGAAGTGTTTAAATGAAACAAGGCTTATGGACTCGAGGATCTTCATCCATCTTTGCTGAAAGATGGTGGTGACTCTTTATTGACTGGACTCGCTTCACTGTTTAATGCGATTTGCGACACTGAAGAAGTGCTTTCAAACTGGCAACTGTCGTGTTCATTTTCAACGTAGCGTATATTACCGAATATAAGCCGCAATTTTAACTGACGACAGCATAACTGCACCATTAAAATTGTTCAAAGTTGTAAGTCCCTACACTAGCCGACTCCAAAAATATAAGCTAAAAACGAACGAACTTGTTTCTCCACGATTTTTCCGTCTACAAAAATGAAAAACTGATTAAAAATCATCGGTTTATATCGGGTAGCATACGGTATTTTGTGGGAAAATTATCAAGCAATAACTATTTTGCATTGCCTTAAAACTTCTTACGGGTACCATTCTTCGATGACTCACTGGTCCCCATGAGGAGCGAACCACTGAAAGTCAGGTTTCGCTCTGGCCATTGTTACATCGACCACATAGTTACTCTACCAAGTTTTAGAGCAGACAAACATACAGATGACCGACTATGGTGATTTTCCTTGACTTGAAAGCCGCCTTCGACTCTGTTGACTGCGCCAGGTTGTGGAACTGCCTATTCATGAAGGGAGTGCCAGCTAAACTTCATTCCATTATGCAGTCTCTCTACGTGACTCCCGGGGCCGTGTACGGATCTACGGGAAACTGTCTCCTGAGTTCCCAACGACAAGTGGGGTTCGCCAGGGTTCCCCAACATCTCCTTTCCTCTTCAACTTTATCATCGAAATGATCATGAATGACTCGGTTCTTTCAGACTATTCTGGAGTGGCGACCGACTGACAAAGCTGAAGTATGCAAACGGCGCAGTTCTTCTTGGGTCTGATGTATTGGCTTTGCAAACACTGCTGCACAGACTTGTGGATAGCGCCGTACGGTTCGGGATGTAAGTGTATCTTCAAAGTGCAAAGTGCTGCTGCAGGACTGGACCGACACACATCCGGTTTTAGCTATCACCGAACAAAAATTGGAAGTGGTGGATCGGTTCACTTACCTTGGTAACTATGTCACCTCTGATGGTCACATCCCTGTGGAGGTTACTTCGAGTAACAGCAATACCCGTGTGGATTTCCAGATACGGCGGGATATCAGACTGTCAGTAAACGGTAGGATGTGTAACACTGCGGTAAGGCCGGTGTTACTGTATGGATCAGAGATCTGGCCAGTTCTCAGTAAAGACATTAAACGTTTGGCCGTGTTTGACCACCGGTGCTTGCGAAGTAGTGCTCACGTCTGGTGGGAACACCGGGTGAGGAATGCTGAGATCTGTCAGTTGGTTTTGGTCAAGAAGCCTTCTGGCGCCTCACACAACTGTTTGCTACATGTTATTCGCTTGCGTTGCCTAGGCTATGTCCTCCATATGTCCGTGGATCGGATTCCGCGGCGTGCATTACACGCCGCGGCCGCATTAAGTTGGGCAAAACCGCGAGGTGGTCAGTACATGACATGGAATAAAATCTTGAAAAAATGGACTGAGAGATTTGGTCAGGCTGGTTCGTGTCGCCTTCGTCGATGGGGGCCTCGGGACGGTGCACACCAATGATTGGAGACCGTATCAAACACGAAATCAGTGACGTTCCTGTATTCGGCTTCTTCTAGCTGGCTGTTAATTTTCCTTCCATTCTGATTAACCTAACGCATTTCCATCGCTTTCATTTTCTCTAGATTCTGTGCACCCAATCCCACTATGGTACCAGTGTTAATTATTGTCATCTTTTCGATGTGAGCACTAGCAAGTAGATCCACCGCACTTCGGTGCTCGGATCATAGTTGCTCAACTGAACACCACTCAACATCAGGCTGAGCAAGTCGCTCGGTCGATTTCTTCATGTATTTATGCCACATCATCGAGGCCACCTAACGGCTTCGCTCAATTTGGTGCAGCGATAGCATGTAATGTATGCCAAGGACGGTCAAAGGAAAACAAGAAAATATGGTTAAATCAAAATAGACGGTACAATTTCAGACAATTCGGTGAGTCATCAGAGGGGTGGTGCCAAACGGTGGACATCATTGCTCGCCCCGTGCTCTCACAAGATGTGAGTAACTCACCAAAAACATTGTTGAGCAAAGATGATTAATCTAGTTAGATCTTCAGCTCGAAGTGTTCAGATGTCTGATCCATACAATAACACTGGCTTTATCGCAGCGTTATACACCCTACCTTTCACTGACAGGCATATATCCCGCCTTTGCCATAGATGGCTAAGCGTTTGGAAAGCCGCACGGGCGTTGATGATGTGACCCCCAGAAGTGACACAGCTACTAAGGTGAGTAAATCGAGCCATCATTTCCAGTGGCTGCTCGCTGATAACTAGAACGGGAGACATTATCGGTCCAGACCTGCAGCAGTACTTCGCAATTTGAAGGTATAGAGCCCATGCCGAAGCGTGAAGCGTTACGTGTCAGCCTATGCATTAGTGTTTGCACAACTGCCGACTCCGGCTGGCAGAGAGGTGTCGTTCGCATGGTTGTTGCTTATCAGTCGGTCAGTTGACAGAACCTCACTCCGAAGGAGGCTAAATGAATGGAGTTATGTATGATGGGCTTAATCAAAGGTGAAGAGGAAAGGAGACATAGGACAACTCTGGAGGATCTCGCTTGTCTTTAGAAACTCAAGAGACAGCTTCCCGTAAAACCTTACACGGCCTCAGGAATCACGGCGGAGACTTCAGAATGACATGTTCCAAACTGAACTGAACTATAGGCGTCATTCGTAGCTGATGGCTAGAAATTCGGTGGGTACCAGATGAGACAGTGTGAAAGTAGTGCTGCAGCTACAAAGATTATGATCTTCAAGTAGTTGTAGGAACCGAGTACCATGATCTGGTGGTTGTGCATCGATCCAGAAACGGTATTCCATGTGCTGTCCATAGATCGAAAGAGGACCCACTTGAGCATTCATATCACTGGCAATAATCATGATGGTATTCTTCGCCATGCGGATAAGAGATGGGAGCTGACGACAGAATCGTGTTTTAACTCCTCTTGCGTGCAGTCAGAGGGGGCATAAACGTTAGCAATGAAAAGCACCGTGCATTTAAAGTTTCTGATTAACCCCAATGCGGATCCGAGGTGGAACCGTACACATGCGGTCGTTCACTGGTAGTAGACTGCCTTCAGCACGCATGGTAGGGGCAACCCAGGAGCCATAAATGTCTGCAGCCATAGACATTGTGTGGTCAGAGATGCAGAGTGTAACAATTAGCGACGGGTTCGGAATCATAGAGTTGGAGAGCAATCACCACGTTGGTACTTTGCATGCGCGTCTCAGAGCCATAGTGTACATCAATTCAGACAGTGAACAGTGCGTGTTAGTGATGCTTCCTGCCTTCTGCATTTACAAAGTATAAGAGCAGACCAAGAGATCGGATTGTCTAGTTTGTGACGGCGGGGTGTCCGGGAGTAGTAGCATCGCTGGTAAGGGACCTGCCTTACCCTCCAGGGTAGTCCGCCTATGGTCTCCATCTGTCATCTAACTCTTACCTGTGTCTCCAAGAAACAGCTTGCACGCGGCAGCGCAAACATCCCGGTCAACCGTCAGGTAGACGGGCTAAACCAGATGAGGGTAGCTGGGA